CTTTCTTTCTTTCTTTCTTTCTTTCTTTCTTTCTTTCTTTCTTTCTTTCTTCCTTCCTTCCTTCCTTCCTTCCTTCCTTCCTTCCTTCCTTCCTTTCTTTTTTTTTTCTTGAGACAGGGTTTCTCTATGTGGTTTTGCAGCCTTTCCTGGAACTCCCTCTGTAGACCAGGCTGTCCTCGAACTCACAGAGATCCGCCTGCCTCTGCCTCCCGAGTACTGGGATTAAAGGCGTGCACCACCACTGGTGGTGTCCTTTCCATTTTTGTTTAGGCTTCTCACCTGTTTCCTGTGCCTTCACATTGATGAAAGGCCCTCACCGCCACCCCCTACTCCACTCAGTTGGTTCTGAGCCTAGTATAGATCCTGAATAAGGCAGCGACAAACATGTGCCCCATCCCCTTATTCCCGGAGTTTTACTGAATGTGACTAGAAGAAGCTATAGATATAAACAAGAATAGAATCAAAGAAGAAGCTATATGATAAAGCAGTTGAAAATTTTCTTTCACAATGAGAACTTGTAGAAAGAAATTAAGGATACATATTTTGCAGGCCGTGTCAAGGTTTTTCTAACCTCATTTTTCTGTCTACCAGGTCCAAAGTTCTTCTGGTTTTATAGGAAATATCGGACACAGCGGGCACTCTGAGCACTCAGTGCCAGCTAACACTGTTCCTTACACTTGTCCAACACCTCAGCAGGCACTGAGCTAATGACCTCCAACTTCTATGACTTTGACTCGCTAAGGCTGCTCAGAAGTCTGAAACCTTTCCCAAAACTTTTAAAACACCAGAGAAAACAATGTTATGGATAAAAAAAAATTATGTGAACATTTCTTTTGAAGAAGCTTCTAGCAGTCACATCTAAGCCTTACCTAAATAAGAAGCAAGAGGTTCGTTCATTTTGGCGGGCTCAGGTTGAAAGGTGGTGTTCTGAGGGATGACAATCTGGTTAGCCTTCTGCATGACGACAGTTCCGTTCCAGTCATAGGCCCCCACTGCTCCAAGCATGACCCAGTCCTAATGTAAGAGACAGAGAGCAATAAAATGGTATTGGCAAACACTTTGGTAGCACTAACCATATGATAGGAATGGTCCAAAGTGCTTTATAAAAATTAATTCATATAGTCCTAAAAACAACTTTCTTTGCAAGAACACAATATTACAATCTCTATTTTAAGCCAGATGCTGGTGGTCCACACCTTTTATCTCAGTACCTAGGAGGAGGCAAAGGTGGGCGGATCCTTGAGTTCTAGACTAGCATGGTGTACAGACCGAGTTCCAGGACAGCCAGGGCTATATAGAGAAACCCTGTCTTGAAAACAAACAAAAAGCAAGCAAGCAAACAAACAACTAACAAGAAAGCAAAATCCCAATTTTAATTAAAAAGGAAGCTGGGTTACACTATGTAACTTCCACATTGAAATGTTAATAACCCTGTATAAGGGCCATGATATGTTCTCTTCTTGCCTTTCTATATTGTTCTGGACACACACACACACACACACACACACACACACACACACACATCTTAGTCTTCTAATGAATATTAGCATGACCAATGAATACCTTAACACTGAGAAAAAGATTCCACATTTTAAGCAAATGTCTTAAGTCTTTCATTTCATTAGGTGCACAATTCCATTCAGCAGAGCTCAGTCTGTCTGGTTCACAACTATTAACTGGTAAAATATAGAAGCTGTGTGACATATTCTCCTAATAAGAAGCTTGTGAGATGCCATTTTCTCCATTTGGATTAGACATCACAACCACAGCCTGCAGAGCTGCCCCTCACATAAACTTCAAAGAATTCTTAATCAATCAATGGCTGGGCATTGCTTGTGGGGAAATTTTGCAGGAAAGATATTGCTTTCCTGGACATGATCAACATACCTGTGAATAATGAGCACTGAAACCGGTCTGAGACATTTCCATCTCAAACGATGCTGCGGACTGGTCAGCTGTAGCTACAATGTGGGAAAGATAACACAGTGAGTGACTGCCAATGTCTTTTAGGCTGCCAGTGATCGGCTGGACACAGAAGTGCCAGAATCTGGGGACCTTCCAAGCAGAACTATGGAACGCATTAGGGCACTATCAGCCATGTACTTCTCAACCAAAACTAGACAAGGTTAAATACAAGACAGAGGTTGGTGAAAGGACTCTTCTCCCGTTCTTAAACATTGGCTTCCCATCCTTGCTGAGGGAACGATGATCTACTTGCTTGCAGAAAGTTTATTTGGTCTTAAAAATGAATTAAAATTAACATAATTTTAGCCAAGTCAGCCTGTCTGTTCTATACTGTAGCTGACTGTGATTCCTTGGTGCTTTGGAGAGCTGAATTACTACAGTAGGAGTCAACTGTCTTGTCTACTTGGTCTGGGAACCCTATCAGAGCTAAATTTGATACCCTACAAATTTAAACAAATTTGTTTAAGGGTTAAACAAAACTTTACTCGTGTATTTAAAGAGATTCTCAGCTCATCATCCCACCTACACTTCAGGCTCTATATCCTCTCTAGCAGCCACTGTTTGATAGAATTAAGGATCCCAGTGCATGTTGGTCTTAATACTGGATGTGGGGATCATTCATCTCAGGAGGTGCCTTTTTCACATAGCTCCCATTTGTGTCCCATTTAAGTCTTTATTTTTAAAGAAACTTTATATTTTTAAAACACCAATTTTAAAGCTCATTGGTAAAGTCCAGACAAGTTAGAGCATTGTATGGAGTTACACTCTTCTCAAAATATTTACAGACCAGAAGCCACAGTTTCCTGGGGGAACTGAGGGAATGTTGATCTACTTGCTTCCAGGGAGTCACTGGTTTACTTGGTCTTAAAAATAAGTTAAAAATAACATATAATTTTGGCCAAGTCAGCCTGTCTGTCAATTGATTCATGTGAATCATTAAACTTGTGAAATTAAACATGTTTACTATTTATTTAGTGGCATAAAACTATAAAAAAATGCATCTGCAATTGAATTTTTATAGGGCTAGATTAAATGTGGCAATGATTAAGAATCTGAATCTAGCCGGGCGATGGTGGCGCACGCCTTTAGTCCCAGCACTCGGGAGGCAGAGCCAGGAGGATCTCTGTGAGTTCGAGGCCAGCCTGGGCTACCAAGTGAGTTCCAGGAAAGGCGCAAAGCTACACAGAGAAACCCTGTCTCGAAAAACCAAAAAAAAAAAAAAAAAAAAAAAATCTGAATCTATCATTTTAATCCCTTATTCAAATTACCCTTTAAATGACTAAGATGCATTTTAACCTCAAATTAAAATGTGTTTTTGATACATAATGATTTAAGCTACTTCCACGCTTATTTTTGCAAGACGGATAGCAAGAACATCGTAGTAGACGCCAGCATCGCTCACCCTCTTCTGATGTTGTGTTTTCAAATGAGAACAGAAGAAGGAGCTCCATGGCATTCTGCATGCTACATTAGGATCATAGCAATAGCCTGGCCATATGCCAAATCTCTCCCTTTCAACCTGTCCCTGATAGGCTGATGTGAAGTAAACCCACCACTCTGACTCTTGCACTGTATCCGCCGGTTGGGAATGTAAGCATTCCCCACCTCCCACCCCCCACCCCCACCCCGCCCCCGGAAGCTGATAAGAAAAGGAGATTCATATCTTTTCCTGATCTGTTTAGTCAACTCCTGAGCATGCCTGACTCACTAGGTGGTACTGTCCTTGGCCAACCAGACTGTCATAATTGTAGCTATTTACCATCTAAAACAAATACTGACAGGAAATGGAGATTTCCCAAATGACAGGGGGAAAAGCCTTTTGTGATCTCATTATGAAAAGAATGAGACCTAGGATACTGGAAGTGCCATTGTATAATGGCAGTACCAGGGAAGTCGAGGCAAGAGGATCAAGGCCAGAGAAACTTTGCCTTGAAAACAAAAACAAAAACAGAACCAGAAACCAAACAGACAACCCCTATGACTTCAGTCTTAATAGAGAAGTAGGAAGAAATTTTAATCTTTGGAGAGTTTCATAAAATGATTTCATATTTCAATATAGAGATTTCTTGAAGCATTCGGACATTCTAGTGAGGAACTTTAACTGTGATTTGGTAAGGTTATAAAGAATCTTAAAATGTCATTTCAGGCAAAATGGACCACATCCCTTACAATGCGGGTCACATTTGGCCAGTTCTAGGTTATATTTGCCTGCTGACTTAGAGAGTATTTAGAAATGGCACTTACTATGTTTAACTGACTAGTCTAATAGTAATTTTTAAAAAAAAACCAACGACTCATATAAGTAACATTAGACAGACCAAACAGGTTATATTTAGAAATTTATATGTGTACAGATATACATATATGCATGCAATAAAATTAATGAAAAAGGAAGCCATGAATTCGAAAGAGAGTGGGAGGGTTATATGAGAGGGGTTTTGAGGGAGAAAAGGAAACAGAGGAATGCTGTGGTTACATTATAGTCTAAAACAACAAAACAAAACAAAAACAAGCAAAAAACTCAACCCTTTACAGACTCTTTCTTGGCCTGTGATGTTAAAAGTTAAAAGTGCACGGTAATTTAGAAGACCATTCATATTAAATCTAGGCAAGCATGGCCTGGCCTATTGCTAAATAACATCTCCATGGCTATTGAGAGACCAAAGCCATGGAACAGTGACTTGGACTCAGAACACAGGACAGCGGAGCCATTCAGAAATGGCTATGATTCAAGTGTTCTGTCTCTGGAGGCAGAAGACAAAAAGGGAGTCAGAGAAACTCCTTCTGCCTGGAAAGCCAGTCCTCGTCACCCTCAGAGGGAATCCAAGCTCCTGAGCACTGAGTGGGACTCAGATCCAAAGCAACGGGGTGAGCAGTGCCATTGCATTGTCTCTGAAAGAGGGTACCTGTACGAGCAGGAAGAGGTGCGAGTGACGCCGTGCACCGTAAGTAACAGACTATCGCGAGACACACTGAGATCAGCTGTATTTTGATATGCATGAATATGTGTGTGCTGGCTTGCAAAGCAAAATGTTTGTTTTCAGGGGCTACTCAAGAAATTTTAAAAACCATTGCTTCACATCACTTTCTTGAACTAGAGGTATAGTGAAGCTGTAGAGCAGTTGTCCAGCCTATATAAGGCCCTGGGTTCAGTCCTCAGCACACATGCGCGCACACACATTTTTTTTTCTTGTTTACTGGATACTCGCTCAAAATTGTCTACCCTTTTTAAAGTCATGTCTCATCCTCACATTCTCTTTCACTTGTAATTAACAGGTTCTGTCGGGGATAGCAAGATAGAACTTTTCACAACTACACAAGCGACCTATATTCATCGGGCCCCCTTGAAGACAGTCAATAGAACTGGGATGGCCCAGAAGGACAGAAGAATTCTCTGTGGTTTCTGCGGGGATCTGGGGTCTGAGTCCTGAGTCTCCAGACCTTCAAAAATTCAAAGAAGACTTTATGATTCAGAGAACGTGAGTTCCAAAGTAGTTTGTTACTGGACACCTCCCACGTAGGGGACTAGCATTGTTCAGTAGCTTCAACAGACTGTTACCGCTGAAAAAGTCAAAGGAAAATCTTCAAAGAGGTGGTGACATCATTAGACAACCACAGTAGATGAAGTTTTGCAACCCAAGGACTCGAGGCAAAACTCCATGAAGATCTTTACAAATGTGCATAGAGCCAATTACAGAGGGAATGAACACAGAAATGATTGGCATCAGAACACTGTCCTAGCCGCCCTAAGGAAACAGAGACACACACGTCAGAAAACAAAATTTGAGCCAGTGGCTCTTCGTTCTAAACTTGTGTCACCGAAAAGGAACAAGGCATGCTGGGGCATTTGGTTTCTTGCATATGTCAATGCTGACCGCCATGTCCACTAGCTCTCCTGGGCATCATCACAGCCTGACAAAGACAGCTTCTAGCAGACACAGCTCTCTGTACAGTAGCTTCATGACAGATACACATGACAGAGACTTCTTCCCTGATGGCTACTGCACACAGTAAAAATGAGCTAGGAGTGTGCCGAGAACACCTCAAACCCATCATATTAAATTTGAATTTTAGAAGCGACAGGCAGCATTAGGAAAGATAGTCATACCTTCCAAGGCAAATATCCTTTCTCCTAGAGCTTTAACGATAGTGACCAGGGCCAACTCATCTGAGACATTGAAGAAGTGCTTTTCAGTGGGCTCGCTGGCGATCGATTTTATTTCCTCCACAAATTTTTCAGTGCTTAAGTTCCCTCGGTTGTAGTGGCCAAGGATCTAGGGCATGACAAAAATGGCAAGAACATATTTTAACTTTTAAATGTCAAATAAATACCTCAAACATATATTCAGTGAACAGGAACATTCAGGATATCTTATCATGTGATAATGTTTTGTACTTATGGGAATACTTATGGAAAAGAAGCTGTCTGAGTACATGGTTTTCCTAATATTGACTCATATGACTATTTATCTTATTTTTCATTATGTCTGTGTGTGTCTGTGTGTGAGTGTGTGCACCTGAGTGCAGGCTCCCTTGAGGCTGAGGGATGAAGTCTTCCTGGGGCTGGAGTTACTCGCAGAGGTGAGCTGTCTGACATGGGTTCTGAGAAGCAGCCTTGGGTTCCCTACAAAAGCAGTACAAGATATTAACCACTGAGCATCTCTCCATCCCTGTATACTGTTTCTTAAAACTGGGAAAACAAAAATCTTTCTTCTGCTACACTCTTGTGATGCTGTGTAACAGCTATAGCTTTGAAATCTGACAGTTCAAAAGAAATGTTATAATTTCTATATGACTGTGGTATGGTTGTAGCTACTGACATGGCCATCTTCTGGCAGTGCAACCAGTGAGGGAGTTAGGGAAATGTTTGGTATGTTTGTGCACCTATGTGAATATATATTATACATGTGTGCATGCACACATGTGTGCATATGTGCATTTTTTTTCTTAGAGACTTGTGAAAGCTCTGCATATATTCTGGAGTGAAGACTTTTATATTTGTTTCATTTTTGTATGAGAAGTTTTAAATTTTCATGAAGTCATACTAATCATGCTTCGTCTTTAAGGTATGCACAATCTTGCCTGTTTAGTTTTAGTGTGAAAATATACGTTTGTGATAAATATGTAAATTTTAAACTAAAAATCCCCAATACAAAGATATGATCTAATTTTATATTTTAAAATTGCATAGCTATGTGAGTAATAGGAAGAAGATTCAAATAATATATTACTTTTTATTTCTGTTTATAATATTTTATATTTCTATCATTGATTTGCCCACATTTATTTAAAGGCCATTTTCTTTTATAATGAAAATGTCACTCTTGTAATAAAGCACATTTAATTTTTATTTTGTTACAAGTTACACTTGAAGATGACCAGTTCTTTTAAATATTCCTGTCTCCTTTATTATTCTATCCCACTGAGAACAACTTAGATATCTGTAAATAATGATGCATAAAATGAGGTTTAAGATGGTAGGCTACAAAATGATATTTTGATTAAGATATATAGATATGTACTTACAAAAATGAGAAAAAACTCAAGTTACTGTTTACATAGTTCTTCTTATGACCTCTGGCAGATTTATTTGTTTCACATGAATAGTGTATGAGCAACACTGTACAACTGAGTAACTCTGATGCACACGAACTGTTCATATGAGAATATGAGTCGTATCTGCTCCAGTCAGCAGGCTCACAGAGGCTTTGCGTGATGTGCTTGCCCCTTTCCCTGGGGAACACCAGTGACCAGCACAGAGGAAATGTTCCACACTGTAGGACATCAAGCCAACTCCTCACTCTTCACTCTTAAGACCTCATCCATCCAGGCCACCCTAGTTCTTTCATTCATTAATGTGCTTGAAATGAATGACACATGAGTATCTGGGAAGGACCGGCCGTTCTTTGGGGGAAGCATGTGTCTAAGGAAACCTGGAGCTGGTGACAAGGTAGCCTGTGCATGACTTAGGTTCTGTTCGATTTTCATTTTTAAACTCACTCTTCCTACTATGATACCCGGACTTTGCATAGAATGGTCTAGGCAGGAACTTCACAAATTATTGCAGAAAACAAAAATTAAATTCCTGGCTATTGTGATGAAAAGCCAGGCAAACACTATATGTAGCTAGCCTCTGAACAGAGACCCCTGGCACTGTCTTGCTTGTCAGCTATGTGATGGAGGAGAATTAGTGGAGAAGGAGGCGGCAGAGATGTTAGGTAGGGAGGCAAAGCTGAAAGGCCATGCTCTCACACCATTGGACAAATACCCTACCTCATTTAAGAAGAGCTATCAAGATGCCTTTCTTATAGTTGGATGTCCCACTGCATCTGGTTGCAGGAGACAGTCTACAAGTTCTATAGGAACCATACCCATGCATTTCCTGCTAAACATGGTTAGACTACTTTTTTCTTTTTTTTTTTATCAGTTTGGTAACCTATATGTTTAGATTCATTCAAATCCTGGATGATGCGGATTCCTCTGAGTTCCCCACCGATTTACTTAACTTACTCTACAGAACTTTGTGATATCCTGGGATGATAAATCATCATTGCTCCTCTTTTATTCTTACCCAGCATGTTCTAGATTAACTATTGGATTGACATATTAACTCCCATTTAATTTAAAATTGCTGAAATTCAAAATATACACAAAACAAACCAAATAACTGAGTTTTAGGGCATGTGTAGTTGAAGTTGTTAATTGTGAAGCAAATGTTACCAGACATCTAGCGGTAAATGTGAAAGGAGGAAGATAAGTAGATTTAACTAAGTAGGAAAAGTGCCCACAGGACATATGTAACGAGTAAGAATAAAGTGGGTAACTACAATGTTGGAGAATATACTCAGAGATGCAGGATTTCTGGGCTTCTACAGAGGCTTGAACCACCTTATGTCACAGATGAAAACAGTGACAGAAGCCTATTGAATCTTTCACCCCAGGGTTTGTTAACTTGTAAAAATGTTTTCTATGAAAACAAACAAAAAGTCAAATAATACACCTAATTTTTTAAGTACATCTCAAATCTGTTGAACCGAAGCATTTGAATTCTGCTAATATTTACCTGAAAAATGTAGTCAGAACTGAAATCTCCCCGAAGCAGGTATGTCAGAGTAAATGTGCAATGCATTTATGTGCAGCATCATGCCTTTTATTTGAATATAAATGGAATGCTGTGATCTTCACTGATATCTCATTTACATTTGAGTGCAATAAGTGATTCACACCTCTCAGCCATTACGACCCAGGAGTAGAATCTGAATATCTAATAAGGCCTCATGGACCAGTCTAATATTCTCCACTGACAGAAACAGAGGACTAAAAGCCAACTCGTGGCCTCTCAAAATATGGAATTTTAACAGGGAATGTTTGAAGTTTTAAAACAGGGAACTTACATCACTAATATTTAATTCTCTTGGGGAGCTGTTTCCTGTCAAAACACGTTTCTGTGTTGATCAGGACCAAACAGTGGGGAAAAGATGCAGTAGACGGAATAGTCCAGACAATAACTGAGATAAAAGAATATTCCAGGCAATAATTAAGATAGAGCTTATATTGGTGTGAATATATGCGGCATGAATAGAGATTTCCGAAGTCTTTCTGTGTTGTGCACAAATGAGAAAAAGTAAAACAAGTGTCTTGTTTTCTATTTTAGTCTCAAATAATATTTTTTAAAATAAATATGGTACAGCAGGGAAAAGAGACACAAAGTAGGAAAGGTAACTAATTATTAAGTGACATTTTCTTATTTTTTATTTATACAGATTTCAAGAGCAGTTTGATAATAACACACTGATTAAAATGGAAAACACATGAATATGTGGTTCTCCATGAAGATGAATGGGATTTTGAAATCTATTTTTTACTAGATGAGAAGCAATGTATAATAATCAAATAGGACTCCAAATAGGCAGAGTTTAAGACAAGGAAAAACTGACTATGTCACCAGACATAATGCAAAACACAGAATTCACTTTTAAAAAGTTGTGCACTGTCTTTGTCTTTCCAGTGAAGTGTCCCTAATGCTGGTTGTGTGTGTGTGTGTGTGTGTGTGTGTGTGTGTGTGTGTGTGTGTGTGTACTGAGTATTAAGTGATCCCATGAGGGAGGCAAGCAATCTCTGGCTGAACTACATCCTCAGCACCAATACTGTTAATTCTGATGATGGCTAATGCTGTTTGTGGCCTGCATCCATGGTACTTGGAATGCCAACTAGCCCTCAGGGGGAAGCAGAAAAATGAGACAATCTCTGATACTTATGTAATGTCTGGACCAAGTGAGCAAGCTCTGGCTTTACACACTGAAGAAAGGCATCAGCCACAGACTTAATGTCACTCGTTGTTTAGACATTGTCCTGAGTGAAGGCAAGACCATTTGAAGCTATTCTCAACTATGAAATCAAAATAGTTCCATTTTCACAGCATAAGCGGCAATAAAGAATTTGATAATAACTGGCAAGTGAAAATTTATAAAAGTAAGCAATAGGGATAATGAGAGAAACAATTAGATGTTTAGTGAATTTTTTTTATATATCTTATACCCCAAATAAAATAAGAAAATGTTTCAGTCAGATATTATCACTTTATAACCAAATCATCTTGTTTATAAAATGAGTGCTTTGGCCCTGGGAAGCTGTGAATCATGTCCTGAAACTTTTTTCTGTGTGTAACCCCCCCCCCCACACACACACACACACTTCTCATATCATTCATGCTTTTGAAAGAAAGATAAATTCATTGACTGGATGTTGAAAACTAATGCAACTAATATTTGATTATTGTTTGTAAAGAGTTCAGGCTGTGCTCTTGGGGTTTGGAATCCTTTTCTCTTGGCTTAAAAAAAAAGTCTATTAATTAAATCAATTTTAGTGAACAAAAGGACAATTGATTTCAGATAAAAGAGAAGCTTGCCCCTAGACCAAAGACGCATGAAGGGCTACAAAGTGGAAGCGGAAAGGAAGGGCCAGATGTAGTCATCTCTGGGGAATTCCCTGACGGTTTCTGAGCAAGGAGGAAACCCTCATCCCTTTTTATCTCTTGAACACCAGGCACTTCTTAGCTCATGGTTGTGAGTTCCTTGAAAGGATCAGAGAGAAAGACCATGTTTATTGTGTGCCTCACTGGCCACCGTTGTCACCGATTCTTCATGTGGTGAAAGAGACAGACAGACTGACAGGAATAACATAATCCTTTGACAGAGGAAGATACTGAAGCTCGGACTGTTAGGAACTTGTTCGTTTGTCCCAGAGATGGTATGCAGCATGAAAGTCTGTCCAAAGGTGTTTCAGGCCCTGAAACACGGTGTTCTCCATCCTTTCCCACACCTAGCCTTCCAATTCTTTCTATTTCCTGCACCTGGGAAATGTGAGAACCTGGCCAGCTTAAGCAGGCAGGGAAACGGGGCTGCAGAAATATCGTGATTGACTTGTTGGTGGATGGTTATAAAAGACATCTTCTGATTCTGGCTTCTCAAATTTCTGGAACAATTGTTAACTAAGAAGCAATCTTTATTGCCTAGTACATGATGTCTGGCTCATTCCAGACACTGAGAGTTTGCAAACCCGTTGCTAGCAAGGTACTTACAGCTATGGAAAATCGCTGAATGTTTTCATCCTCGCAGTCTTCGATGACCTGTTTCAGTCGATAGTTGTCATGTGATTCTCCATCAGTCACTATGACCATGACCTTTTTAACTCCCCTCCTGGCACCCCGAGCTTCAGTGAATGCCTCTTTCCTGAAGGGAACACAGACCAAAAGGGAGGCTGGTCAAACACAGCCCAAAGTCAGACAAAATAAAAAGCCCTGCAAAAATACAACAACTCTGCATAGCCTAATACTTCCCTCCAAGATGAATGATCAGGGACTTCAGGGTCAGAGATGAGAGGCACCATGATTCCCATCTGCAATAGTTCCACAGGTATTGCACATGACAGGGACTCACCCTATTACCACTTTCCACAGATGCCCATACAAAGCACAGGTACATTGCTTTCCTTGGAAGCTTTAATGGAGTGTTATGACTGGTGTCAGTGTGGGAAAGAATACTCACGTCTACTGTCAGAAGTGAAGCTTGGACTATGGATACCACAGACAGAGGAAGTTTTCCTATTATTCACTTACCTTCAGCAAGAACCAGGCCAAGTCAGTTAAGCACAATCACCCAACTTACATGATTTCTCTTAGCAAGTTTTCATGAAATGACTCCCCTCCCCAACTCTGTCCCACATTAAATCTCTACTTGTCCTTGTATTACAGGGTGAGCCGAATGTCACTCAACTGCAACACCCCATTGCAATGGTTCCCATCTTTAAGAACCTTATGAATATTTTTTTCTTCAGCATGAGCCTGTAATGCAGATTTTCCGATTTCTTTAAATGCTTAGACAAAGGTGAAGACAGATGTCAAAAGCTAAGTTTTAAAGGAAGTTTGGACATGAATATTGTATGACATTTAGTCTATTTTGCAATTCTAATTCCTTAGTGGATCATCCAGAGCTTCTAATTCTCTGAAGATTAAGGTCATAGCTGAACTTAATGAGTATCATCTGAAGAAGATGATTAGCAGTCCTTTCTTAGAGAAATTCTGGTTGCTCTGAAACTTGAGCCGACTTCATATAACAGAAGAGAGGGCAGCTACAGAACTGCAGAGTCCACCCTTCCCATCTCAAGTGCATTCCCTAAGGAGTTAGCATGTCTGAAACACCAACACCTAATGTCTTTTCTTAGAATGAAGCAGCATTCCTCACCCCCCATGGGCCTTTAAAATTTTAAGTATTTCAGGAAAGCTACTTACTTTGGGATAGGAGAAGTCATGATTTATGAGTAATTAAATAATTTAAGCCTGGTTACAGGAATGAAAAAGAAGGGAACATCCAAAGCTATTATGAACTGAAGTGAATGAATTCACTGAAAGTGAAGATAACAGATTCCAAAGCATTCAAAATATTTTTTTTGTAACGGGCTCCCCTTAAAAGGAATAAAACACAATCAAAACTGTGCTTACACATGATAAATTAATGTGTGAGAAAAATAGTGCTGCAGTATCATTAAAGACTCTTTGTGTAACCCCCAAACTTAATAAATTCTGTCTACAGATAGGTCATGTGAGAAATGTGGGCAAAGCCCATATAAGGCCATGGTATTTCAAGTAGCATTTATCCAGGAGTGGAAGCAGCTACAATGGTTCTTCCATTAGTTACAAAGATAAATATTCATTCTTAAGCTTTTGCCTCTGGAAAACGCACAATTCTTTACAGGCTCAGAGCTTTCAAAGCAAGCTCTGACTTTCTGCGAATGTGTGTCTACATTCAATCAGCTATTGAAGGCACTCTCAGAATAGCTACACATATGCACTCCTTATGCATGCAATATGCCATCCTATAAGCAGATAAATGCACAGTTACCACAGCTATTTATGTTCCTATGTGTATGTGTGTGTGTGTGTGTGTGTGTGTGTGTGTGTGTGTGTGTGGTGTGTTCCTCTAAAATCTGAACCATGTGCTTTTCGTAGCATTTATGACTGAATTAGCTTCCTATGGTATCCATTCTCACAGACAGGTGGAATGTGACCATAGTAAATTAACTTTTCAAAATCAGCCAAGAGTCCAGAGGTTGAAACAACTTAACAGAAGTATACTTTTTTCTTTTTTTTTTTTTTTTTTTTTCCGAGACAGGATTTCTCTGCGTAGTTTTGGTGCCTGTCCTCGATCTTCCTCTGTAGACCAGGCTGGCCTCGAACTCACAGAGATCCACCTGCCTCTGCCTCCAGAGTGCTGGGATTAAAGGCACGTGCCACTGCCACCTGGCCAGAAATATTCTTAATGTGAATCAAAATACTTATGAAGCATCTTGTGAATTTTAGGTTTTGCTTAGACGTTTGCTAGGTTTGAAAATAATGACAGAAGGAAGAGCCAGAGATAAGAACTGAAAGACTGGAGAAAATACAGGAAGTACAGTGCTCTGCATCTGTAAAAGAAAACACTTCGAAGGTTCTTATGAAGCAAAATTTACCCAAAGAGTAATGTTGTGATGAAGTTTTTTTTTTTTTTTAATAAGGCAACATTTAATTTGGCTTCTTAAAAATTCTTGTATTAGGACTGGAGGAGTAGCCCAGTCACTAAAGCTCTGATCTTTATAAACATGAGGACCAAGTCTGGTCTTCAGTACCCATCTTAAAAAGGAAGCTAGGCTAGGCGGTGGTGGCACACACCTTTAATCCCAGCACTCAGGAGGCACAGGCAGTTAGATCTCTGTAAGTTTGAGGCCAGCTGGTCTACAGAGCAAGATCCAGGACAGGTACCAAACTACACAGAGAAACCCTGTCTCGAAGAAAAAAAAAAAAAGAAAGAAAGAAAGAAAAAAGAAAGAAGAAAGCTAGGCTGTGTAGTGGCATGCACTTGTATTCCCTATACTAAAGAGTAGAGGCAAGATCCCTGTGGCTCCCCGGCCAGTCAACGTGTCCTGCTCAGTGAGTTGTACACCCGGGAAAAGACTCTGTCTCCAAAAAGTTCAATAGCCTGTAAACTATGACACCTGAGGTTGTTCTCTGACCTCAAGTAAATAGGTACAAATGTGCCTGTGCACACCCCCCCCCCACACACACACAGACATGCACCCATGTAACACGTAGATTCTCATGGTCTATTTTCAAAATACGTGGTGCACTCTCGTTATTGAGCTGAGTTCATCAGAGTTGCAGCAAGTGCTAGGTCTGTCTCTCCCTCATTGGCATGTGGCATCTGCTTGTCTCACAACTCTGAGAGTTAGAAGTTAAGTTACAGGTGGTCTGATATATGACTGACTTCAGGATCAGAAAAGGGGGGTGGGGGTAGCCTCACACCCCAAATCATTTATTGTACAAGGCTTTGTGCCCTGGGCCAATTGGATATGGAGTTTGAGAGGGGTGCAGTTCTAGTCTAAAGGAAAAGAGAATAGGAATTTAGGGGGGTTGTAGAAGTTTTTTAAAAATGAATAACTTGTTCCAAATCAGCATGCTGGCCATGTTTGCTTTGCCTGTGTGCCAGCATTCCTTTCCGAAGAATAGTACATTAAAAACTGCTTCATTTTTACTAGTCTCCTGAATTTGTAATCACCTTATTTCCAATGGCAGGGCGTGGGCGTACGCACTCACGCACGCACATACTACCTATATGAAAATTAGAAAAATCTTATATCAAGTGCTAGTGATACAAGAACATGGTAGAATATATAAGTTGAGTAGACATAGACCGTATTTTGATGCATTCATCGATATGCCTAGAAGTGAAAAATAAAAATCATATGGATACAAGAATGTTGGGAGGCATTGCTGGCTGGTCAGAGTTTGCAGTCTATAGCATGGCCCAGAAGATTTTTCCAAAGCTTGATGACATGGGACTCCTTCCCCAGCAACAAAACTTCTTGCTTTCTACCGGCCCTTATCTGGAAAATATTCCCCAGCCTAGAGGACTGACCTTATCTGAAAGCTGTCTCTAAGCCTGGATGCTTGATTTACCTTTAGGTTGACCCTTTGGTACAGATCACTGCTAGATGTCTCCCTTGTTGCACATATGGTAACTAAGACTTATACTAGGAGCTCTGGAAGCTGGACAGCGGTGGTGCACAGCTTTAATCCCAGCACTTGGGAAGCAGAGCCAGGTGGATCTCTGTGAGTTCAAGGCCAGCCTGGTCTACAGAGCGAGATCCAGGACAGGTGCCAAAACTATACAGAGAAACCCTGTCTCAAACAAACAAACAAACAAACAAACAAACAAACAAACAAAAACAAAAACAATAAAACCAAAAACCTTTTTAGGGGTTGGGGATTTAGCTCAGTGGTAGAACGCTTGCCTAGCAAGTGCAAGGTCCTGGGTTAGGTCCTCAGCTCTGAAAAAAATTAAAATTAAAATTAAATACTAGGAGCTCTGCTATAGGACCTTGCTGCCACATAGGAAGGCTTATGATAGGATCATGCCACTTAATGCAAATTAGTGTTTGTCCCTAGGTTCCCCAATCCTATATATTTTCTATACTCTGGAAGAAAGCTGAGCTGATTCACTGAAGTCTCTCCCAGAGAGCTGTCATGTTTACATGCAATACAAGGATCTTTGCCCCTTTGTCCTTGTTGGCTGATGGCCAACTGACCTCGAAGACAAAAGGGAACCCTCACACAAGAATTAATACTAAGCATCAGTTCACAACAACATATCAACTGTTGTTAAGTTTTTAGTTGATTCACCATCAGACCCTTGAAATGAAAGGAAAAGATAAGCAGGGTAGTGAGACTATATTACTCTAGAACTTGATTGTTTAATAGTAAATCTTCTAAATGGAATATGAAAAATGTGGCATTGAATATTGTCAAGGTAAACACCGAGTCAAATTCCAAAGGCAAGCATAGATGGTGGTTGTACTGAATGGTCTTTTGCACATTTTTATTTTTATTTTTACTTTTGAGGTTATCATGTCATCGTTTCTCTATTCCTTTTCCTCCCTTCAAACCCTCCTATATAACCCCTCCTTGCTCTCTTTCAAATTCATGACCTCTGTTTTCATTAATTGTTGTTGCATGCACAGACACACATACATTATCATATATATGATATGTATTCTACATTATCATGTATATGATGCATGCATATGTGTGTGTGTGTGTTTGTGTGTGTGTGTGTGTGTGTGTGTGTGTGTGTGTGTATGTATGTGAGGGGTCACAAAATAGCTTGACCACACAGCAGCCATAACAGGCTTAGGGGCCTAGACACAGCTTCTGTGACAGGTTTACTGGCAGGCAAACCCAGATCCAGGAAAAGCCTTAAGCTGATACCACCCAAGGATACACCCAGGGGTGAGGAAGTATCTGACATCCCAAACATTCCAACCATTAGATAAGGTGGCCAGATGTCCTTGAGTCTAGCACACACCTATTTTTTTGTTTTACAGATACCCCTAGACAATTGCCAGCCAATCAGTGTCCTGGACTCTGGAAATCCCCTCACCCCAGCCTCTGCTATGATAGAAACTCTGCCCCACCTAAGCTCAGGGCTCTCTGCTCTCACTACTTTGTGAGACAGACAGAGGAACCAATCTCCAGATCTTGAAATAAAGGCTCTTTGCTTTTTCGTGCGGGATTTGGTCTCTGTGGTGGTCTTTTGGAGGTCCCTGTGATCTGGGCATAACATGTACACACACACACACACACACACACACACACACACACACATGTGTTATACTCAGTATGTATAATGTTACCTGTATGTATGTTTTCAGGGCTGACCAATGGATACATATACAAGATAACTCCTGTACCTAAGGCTCAGGGAACATTGCAGAAGAGGAGACAGAAAGACAAGCCAAAGAATCAGGAACTTTGCTGTGAGATTTTGTCTCCTAGGAATGTCAGAAGCCACACCCATAACGTCTCACCAACATGATTTTTAATACATACCTGGCTGTGTCTATTCCAAGGGCTGTCATTGTTTGGACACCACCTCTCTGGTTTATTTTGTTTGCTGCAATAAGTACCTCTTCTGTCGATGAATACTTATTGAGGTTGAACTCATGGGTTACATTTTCTCCATACTGTACAATTCCAACCTGAAATACCAAGCTACCGTTGAGTCATGCATCTAGCAAAATTGCCCACTCATTATTCTTGAGTTTAAGCATATAGGGCCAGTAGAATACCTTTTAGCTTTTTAGATGAATGTCATAATTGATCACTACATAAAGCCTTCTACCTCAATAGCAATAAATAATGGCCACTTTGTGACTATGAACAATCCAAAGAAAAACAATAAAATTGCCGTCTCTATCCAATCAAAAAATTTTAGAGAATGATTCCAGCAGGCTCCCAGGGCATATTCTGCTATATTTTGTTTTAGTTTCTTATATGACTGATTCATTCAAATCACATTTAATAAATGAGGAAACAGAGTCTTAAGAACTAATTACCTGGCTGGGGATATAACTCAATGGCAAAGGACTGGTTTCACATGCATGAGGCCCTGGGTTCAATTCTCAGCAGGGAAACAAGCAAGCAAACAAACAAACCAAATGCATGCTCCACACTGAAGAGGGAGACAGGGGTCTAGCCTCAGGAATGTCAAGACTGGGCCCCTCCTAGTATCACCCTTCTTTAGTTAACATGAGCTGCTAGCTTCTAGTAATCAGAAGGAAACTTGAGCTACTCTAGAGTAAATAGGCAAATGAATAAGGTGATAATATTTTTAAAAAGAAATAGAATATGTTATTTCTCCCTTGCAGTTGTTTAGTTGGTCATAAGGTTAAATAAAGGAACTGGAGAATTTATATAATTGTGAGATGAGGCATACATTGTAAGATGATTGAACATGAATTCTTCTTATTTTATGTCTAGGATAACCTTGTTCCTCCACAAATGCATTTTGCACCCAGTTTCTTTACTATATATCCCAAGACTGTAGGTTATTCAATTGGAATTTTATTCCCTATATGAATAAACGGCAGTGTAGTGATATATTGTTTGTAATCGAGGAAACACATGTTGCTTGAAGATCAGAGAACAGAGCTAGCCATAGAGTTAGTCATAGAGGTCAGGCAGTGGTGGCACACATCTTTAATCCTAGCATTTGGGAGACAGAGGCAGAGATCTGTCTGGATTTCTGTGAGTTCAAGGCCACACTGGGCTACATGAGATTAATCTAGTCTAAAAAGGAACGAGCCAGGCAGTGGTGGCACACACTTTTAATTCCAGTACTTGGAGTCACACACCTTTAGTCCCAGCACCAGGAAGGTTGAAACAGGAAGGGATATGGCTAGGCAGAGAAAGGAATATAAGGCAGGAGGAGACAGAAACTCGTGATCTTTCAGGCTGAGGAGTTGGTGAGGTAAGAGGTGGTGGCTGTGGCTTGGTCTCCTTCTCTAATATTTCAGCTTTCACCCTGATATCTGGCTCCAGGTTTTTATTATAAGACCATTTAGATTCATGCAACAAGGTAGGATGTAGCCAACTAGTTACACAAAATATTAAAAATGAATGAGGACAAACCCCTGACTCTAATTTAGGTTATTTCTTTGAGTTATATTTAAATGGTTTTATTACCCATTTTTAGATTTAAAATTATTGTCTCTAATGACAATACAGATTTAAATTATCAATCCTGAGGGATGCTGACCTCAGAAAGAGAAACTCATAAATATTTTGATTTTTGCCATTATAAACATGCAATATAGATTTCAATGAAATACTTTTGTTACTAAGATACTCATTATATCTAATCTTAAGTACCAAGCTTCATAAAGATTTCTATGGAAGCCAGTTGTTCATGAATTTAAGATATCTCACTGAGCTTGTTTCCTTTTTATTTTCACATTTTTAGTTAACTAATCAGGAGTCTAAAAATTTGAAATTTTCACTACCACTCCTGTCCTTATTTTAACAGTACGAAGTATCCTCTTCTCTCATGCCTTTGACCTCCTGAGCTCTGAGAATCTTTCCCTCTGACTCATGGATGACAGCTCTCCTCAAGGGCTTCCTATCCTTGATTCTATCATCTGCAAGAGCAATGGTCTTAGTTCCAAGTGTTTTCTTCTCTGGCCATTAACGTCAGCTCATTTGTCTGTTCTATCTAAGCTGTCAATCACTTGACCATATCAAGACCTCATGACTGCCAATATCTTTAGCAACCTACAAGCTAAGACTGGATTCTATGGTACAATTACTGTAATCATCTACTTGCAAAAATATAACTCATTTAACCTCTTTTCTCCTTCACTAACTCACCTGGCTAACTTCCAACTCCAGGTAAATCCAGCTGTCTTCATGTGTGATTCTGCAGTGCTGAATGTTTCTGTGCAAAAGTCACTTAGCTTGTGTATCAGTCTCCTGCTAAAGTTATATCGATGAATCTCAAATGGGGTCTTGCATTTAAATCCCACCCAACAGTCATACAACTTGCTACTAATGAATGTACTTTGCTCCCATTTGTTGATTTCAATCAGATTTTTCTCAAGGGCTGTTAAGGCTCACAGGAGAATTTACCTATTTATCTTAACTGTGCTCACAAAGAACTCACATGAAAGGGACAGAAGTCATACCAACCATTCAAGGCTGCTGGATACCAGGTAAGTATATTTTTATAATATACCTTACATATCTCAAGGAGTCTGCTCCGAATGATGGATTGTCTAAACAAATTATCTTCACTATAAACACTGAAAACTCAAGATCTTGGTGTGGTGGTTTGAATGAAAATGTCTCCCATAGGCTAAGATGTTTGAAGACTGAGTCCCCAGTTGGAGGCACTGCTTGGGGAGATTTAGGAGTGGTGGCCTTGCTAGAGGAAATGTCACTGGGGTGGCCTTTGACAGTTGAAGACTCACACCATTTCTAGTTCACTCTCTGTGCTTCACACTTGTGGTTCAGCTTCTGCTCCACTTGCCACACCTGTGGCTTGCTTGCCATGCTTGGGTTCACTCCCCTGGAATCTTAAGCCAAGTAAACACTTCCTTCTATAAGTTGCCTTGGTTGTGGTGTTTTATCACAACAATAGAAAAGTAATACACTTGGTAAGACATGTGCTTTATATTTTCTCATCTATCTATCTATCTATCTATCTATCTATCTATCTATCTATCTATCTATCTATCATCTATCTGTCATATATCAAATATATAAATCTGTCTACCATTTGTCTGTCTATCCATCTATCCATTATCTATCTATCTATCTATCTATCTATCTATCTATCTATCTATCCATCCAACTGTCATTATCTATCATCTATCCATGTATCTATCAGCTATCTATTTATTATCTATCATCTATCTCATCTGTTTACCATCTACTTGTCTGTTTCTATCTACCTACCTACCTATCTATCTACCTACCTACATATCTATCATCCATCTATCATCTATCCATCTATATACAATCATCATCTACCTATCTAGCATTTGTCGTCTATCTTCTAACACATTTCTCACTTCTGCAAGCTTATTCTTTGTAAATGTTAAAATACAGTGAGCTTACAACAGTCAGTTCCCTCACCTTTTCTGAGTGCCCGACTTCTAACTACCCTACTGGAGGCTATTTACAACTGACTGTCTTTAGGATTTTCACCTGTTTTGCTTTGACAGTTTAAAGAACAGGAACATTTCTTTCTCCCAACCTATCACCCTCTCCTAGGCAGGGCCTGAGTGCAGGGAACAGCAGCCTGGGGCCTGGACTCAAGCTGCATGTCCCTTGTCCCTTTCAGGTGGACATGTGCTTTATATTTTCTCATCTACCTATATCTATCTGAGGCCTGGACTCCACCTGAAACCACACCTATGGCTTATCCTCTGTCACTACTCCGCTTTGCTTCCCTGGATCCTTGTTTCTTTTCTACAGGAAGTGCTTCCTTAATAATCCATACCCTGAGACTCTTCCCACAATCTGCCCTTGGAAACTGGACCTCATGCATTATCAGTGCTCCTTTATTCCCACCTAAACCCGGATGTCAAGGTCTTGAACCTCGACCACAGCAGGGGTTGTTCTCACTGCGCCCACTCTCAAGTCCTGCTGTGTAACATTGGGCTATTAACTGAAACAATGCAGCCATCACATTGATTCCCCGTTCAAAACCTCCCATTGTTCCCCACTGCTGACACCAGGGACTCGGCAAAATAGTTTTATATAGTATTTTCATACTCATTTCAAAGAGAGAAAAGGTAAAATGCAATGCCACTCATTGACGTGCCAGGTTCCTTTAAAAAAATCGTTAAAGCCAGGCAGTGGTGGCGCACACCTTTATCCCAGCACTCAGGTGGCAGAGGCAGGCGGATCTCTGTGAGTTCAAGGATAGTCTGGTCTACAGAGTGAGTTCCAGGACAGGTAAGGCTACACAAAGAAACACTCTCTTGAAAAATTTAAAAAAAAAAAAAGAAGAGAAAGAGAAAAAACTTGAAATCAGAGTGAACACCACATATACACATATCTCTCCCCACAGCTTTGTCGCTCCATTCATTCTAGAAGATTCAACTCCACCTTCCTTGCAAAACGTTTCTCACCCAGCTGTCAACACAGCCTATCATCCTGCCATTGACTTCTCCCGTCTGAGAACTCAGGGGCACACTTGTCTACACTGCATTCCTCGCAGCTGGGCTGTGTGCATGTCTTATCTTTACAAGTGGATTGAAGTTCCCAGGGTCTGGCAGGGTAAAGAGCACGGACTGTGTCACAGCTTTCCATGTTCCTTTATCCCTTCCTGCTGCTTTGTTTCGCTCGGAGTTGACCCTCGTACATTCCGAATAGATGACTGTGACAGTGCAGGGAAGCAAGTGGAAAACTGAGATAGCCAAGAAACAGGGAGAGGCAGACCAAGCGTGATACACAGAGTGTGGGAAACGAGAAGGGACAAACTCAGATATTGGGGGAGGCGACCTTCAGTGTTGATTGATGGCCAAGGCTAGATGCATATTTTCTTAGAAACTAGACAGGACAAAGCCTACTGTGGGGCTTCATTGGAAAGGGGACCATTCATTAATTTTTGTCTTACGAGTCAAATAATAATACATATACATAATATTATGCTGAGTGCTGGTAAGAACCAATTCAATATAGATGATTTCAGTTC